CTCATTGTCTAAGAGGCCGAGCTTGTTGATCAGGAAGGTCAGCAATTTGAACCCTGAGTGCCGCGTAACGGAGTGAGCTCCCGTTACTTGTCCCAACTTCTGCCAACTTAGCAGTTCAAAAGCATGTAAAAATGCAAGTAGAAAAATAGGAACTACTTTTTGTGGGAAGGTAACAATGTTCCGTGCACCGTCAGCATTTAGTCATGCCAGCCTCATGACCACAGAGACATCTTTGGACAGTGCTGGCTCTTCGGCTTTGAAATGGAGATGAGCAACGCCCCCTGGAGTCAGGAATGACTAGCACATATGTGTGAGGGGAACCTTTACCTTTACCTTATATTCTTCAGACTTCTGTCCCAAGAAGTAACTTACCACATCGTATAGATGGAGACAGTCCTGGACAAGAATTGGAATTCTTTAGATATAAATTCCAGAGTATGCCTGTTTTCTAGCTGGAATATTATTTAAATTTCTCATTGCTTACACATGGAGCTTTAATAGATGAAGAAACTATGGCTCCAGTTAGAGATTCTTTCGTGCCTCTGCCTTGTCTTTTGATGATTTCTTAGCCTCTGGCTAAAATAAAATTTAATTCAGAGAGGCCCCACCTTGGCAGTAACTTCTGTAACAACGCTCTTTTTGAATAAAACAATGTTTATCTGAAAGAGAAGCAAATCATCCCGAACTGAGTTCTCTCACGTCTCTGGAGCTGCAACTCCAGCTTTTAAACACACGATAACCATGGGAGAGCTTTTGCGGCAGAAAGGGTTAAATGAAATCCAACTCTCCTTTTCCTGTGCTGTAAAGAACTAGTAATCAAACAGAAGCTGAAGGCAAGACAGAGTGTCAGAGCCATTGACGGAGCTCCAATCCGAGAGGAGCTGTGGACTTGGTCTTCTCACCCTCCAGAAGTGGCATCAGTGAGCACTTTGCCCTCACTGACACGCAGATCCAGCATCAGGTAAGGAGGGTGGGTTATGGATTACAGATTAAATCTTGGTGCCTCTCGCTGTCCACTGCTGGTTTAATCAGTTTGATCAAGTTTTAAAAGTTAGACACGAAAGAGTGTCATGCAAAAGGGAGAACATTTGGTGATAAAATATCCTGATTTTTGGCAGGCGAAGAAGAAGGGATGTTTACATGTGAAATTAACTTAACAGTTAACTCGTTCGGAGCCCTGTTACTTCTAACATAGTCCAAAGCTATGATACTTCAATGAGGAACAGGTAGCTTTGCTTGTTTCATATGAGATGTGTCCTCCTTCCAACCTTGAACAGAGAAAGCCTCTTGGTACATTCAGTTCATACATTTAGTAGAGTTTGCATGTCCAAGGTAAGATTTGAGAGCACTTGTTTGTAAGTGGGTTATTTGCACCTGCTTTGTCTCCATTCTATGTATTTTGGAAAAGGGAAGCAGCCACAGGAATAACCAGACATCCCTGTGAATGCCAGAAGCCAAGCCAACTCGGTTTACTGCAAAGCAAGCAGCTGTGGGTGACACAAATTGTGGTGTGGTTGCCATCGGCTGATGAAAGAGTCGTGTTGCTACAGGCTCATGCAGTTGTGGGAACAATTCCATGGATTATCTGGAGTGGAGCTGTGTACGTGTGTGCTTGGTCCTGTAAACAGATTTGGAATTTTGTTTTTGTTTTTTCTCTCTCTTTCTCATTTATTTATTTATTGGAATGGGAGAAGAAAATTAAAAGTGCTGGCAGGCTTTGCAAGATCAGGATTTGCATCTTTGAGGTTTTTGAGGTTATATATATATACAGGTACTCCTCAAGTTCATTTAGTGATGTTTGAAGTTACAACGGCACTGAAAAAAGTGACTTATGGCCGTTTTTCATCCCCATGGTCACATGATCAAAATTCAGATGCTTGGCAACTGGCATGTATTTATGATGGTTGCAGTGTGTCCCAGGGTCATGGGATCACCTTTTGAAACCTCCTGACACACAAACTCTATGGGGAAGCCAGATTCGTTTCACATCTGTGTTACTCATATAACAACTGCAGTGATTCATTTAACAACTGTGGCAAGAAAGGTCATAAAATGGGCAGAATTCACTCAACAAGTGTCTTGCTTAGCAGCAGAACTTTTGGCTTAATTGTGGTCGTAAGTCGAGGACTACTGGTACAGCAAAACAGGGAAAGAGGCATATATTAATTCCTATCTCAAGGACCTGGAGAAGATTTCTGGTCAATAGAGAGCAGTCTTTTTTAGATGGACCTTAACTTTCACAATTTTCATGCGATGAGGCTGTGATAGGGGTTCAAACCTGGCATCTAAACAGCACTTAAAGCTGATTCACAAATGGGACTTATCAGGCCCTGCTTCTAACAGTTCCATGAAATGTCAAGCATTCCAGTTACATTCATTAAAGTTCTATTGTCAAGTTGCCTGTTCAGCCAAACGCTGCCATGGGTATGATAAGCTAGACCAAACATTGCAAAAATAATATAAACAAAAATATAGGGAAGAGAAGAAGCTTGACATTTAAAGCTGCAGCAAGTTGATGCAACCATCTTCAGCCTGCGGGTGTCGGACAGACCTGGAAGTCATAGGAAATCTTTTCCACTCTCCTTAGCAAAGCAGCAGCCTGCAATGGATCGTGCAGAGAAATAAGGTCCCCCTGTTGCTTTATCCTTCTTTCCTGAACCAAAGATTGTGAGAAATAAGGGCACAAAATAGCAACATAACTCAGGATCTGTTAAGCAGTATGAGTTATCATGAATGGGAGTGTATATGTTAACAACCAAGATGTTGATCAGCACAATTCCTAGAGGTATGTTTTGATGGTGTGAACATTGTCCTTCAAAGCCATGTTGATTTGGACCACAAAAGAGTCTGGTTCTTTCTAAGTGGGTACTCAAACTTTTTCCCGTGGCCCGACAAAACTGCGTTCGTCAAAATAGCGGCGATAAAACCGCGTCGCTAAAGCCACGACATCAACACCGCGATGTCATCAGCAC